TAACAAGATACATTAAAGAAATAAAGCAAACGTTTAATAATACACAATAAATATATAAAATGAGGCTGTCCCCAGTCTAAAAATAAATTTTGTTTTGCTTAATAATTTTATTGTAGAAAAATAAGGCGAGTCTGGGGATAGTTTCATTTTAAATATCTATTGTGTATTATTAAACGTTTGCTTTATTTCTTTAATGTATCTTGTTAATTCAGGTCTTAAAATTGTTAAACTGTTTTTGTTTTTTTACAATTCTAATGCTGGTTATAGAGCAACAATATTAAGCTTAAAATGTTTACAGACCTTTAAAGCACTTTAAAGATGTACTTTTAAATTTAAGTAACGTATCATTCTTTCAAAAAAAATTACCCATTAACCCCCTTATTTCCATGAAGAGCTTCGTATGTTGGGCTATTTTTGTGAACTTTAAACGAAATACAACGAACACTATTGAGTAATGACTTTAGACTATTTATGAATATCTGAAAGACGTTGTAAATATGGTTGTTTTAACACAATGTTACAGTTTAAGATGAACAACGAGGACAGACCGATGTTCCGAAAATTTCCGTCACTAGGACTGGAGTTTGTTTTATTCTTCTTCTTGTTATTAAACTTATTCACCCTGTTTCTATAACAATAGTGATATTATTATTACTATTATGAGAAAGCTTTAATTATGGGTAATAATAATATAATTCTCTGGAATGATTACAAAAATACCTTAAATGTTATCGGCTTATATCTCTAATATAACATTATACACCTACAACTGATTATGTAATGTATCAACCTGAATGAATATTAGGCCTACATATTGCTTTCACGTTCGATTTTCGAAAAATTGGCCCTTCGCACTTACGGTAAACGCGAATTAACGTATTCGGTATTTTGTGACGTATGAGCCTGCTCCTTGTACAACAGTGAAATAACGGTAAGTGTTTCAGCTGTTTAGAAATTGTCTGTATTTTTTTTAATAAAACATTTTTAAGACATGCTTTTCTTTCTTTAAATTAAGAAAAAATATTAGCTCTTTTGTGGTTACTTGCCCAGGGAATGTTGATATATAGCCAATTAACCATATATTTTAAAAATAAAAATAAATGTTAAACACGTCTTAAAATAGAGAACGTACAAAGCAGAGAATTTTTACAGGTTTACACTGGCCTACATGTATAAACCTACGAGATGAAATACAGTGTTTCTTGTCCATACAGTAGAACACCTGAAAATGAATAAAATTTCAAATTTTTTAACCAGTTGAATCAAGTCTCTTCTGAGGTTCATCTGTAACGAAAATTGGAGAATAAAGCAAAAAAAAATTAAAGTTTATTCATCTGTTCTGGCTTCGAGTCTACGGCGCCGTGAAAAGCGCCCTTTATTTCTAGGCCTTTTTCTACGTCTTCCAGGGGCTTCAGGGCGTTGTCGATGAGAAGTGGTGACCTGACTCTCATCGGACTTTGTTTCGGAACTTTGAGATGTGTTCTCTTTTTCCTCTTCAGGGGAGTCCGTTTGAGCACTGGTCTTAGACTTTGAACGAGATAGGAAAGAGGGTAACGTAGGTTTCAATATTGCTGAAATATTAGGTGTAGGCAAGGGTTTCCGGGTTTTCCGCCGAAACAGCTGTATTCCAGGACGGACTAACCCACGAGACCTACTCCTGTTGCCATTCGCCTGCTCTTCTTCGTTAAATGGACCTGTATAAGGTTGATTATTTTCTTGAGGTTCTTTCTCTTCTGCGTCTGCAGAGGCAAAAGAATCCCGGTCACCGTTCGAATGGCTGTCTTTAGTTAGAGATTTTTTTGCTTGAGAAGTAGAGCTTTCCTCGTCATCTTCGACAATCTCTCTCTCCTCCTCTAAGTTATCCACTGATTTGTCTCTGTTCTGTTTACGATGACGCCTTGCATCAACCGACAGTACCAGGGTCAGGATACAAAACAAAGTGGTGACAGCAAAGACCGTAAGTGGCCGCTGCAAGTAAAATAACATTGGAGTGAGTAACTTTGATGGAAAATATTATTCCACCTGAGGGCGCCGTTTTATTGAAAATTAACTAGAAACTGTACGGAAGGTTTAGACATCTGGAACTGGAGAATAAGAAGAAAAACAACTTATAAAAATTATTAACATAAATAATAAAATACTTCGATTACTTAAAAGATGCAAGATATATACTGTACTTTAATAAACTAAATGTGGTGTTTTATATATATATTCTGCACCATTTTTCAAATTCTTCATAAGTTTGTTTGTTTTTTGAATTTCGCGCATAGCTACACTAGGGTTAGCTGCGTTAGCCGTCCCTAATTTAGCAGCGAAAGACTAAAGGGAAGGCAGCTAGTCTTCACCACCCACTGTTAACTCTTGGGCTACTCTTTTACCAACGAATAGTCACATTATAACGCCCCCACAGCTGAAAGGGCGAGCATGTTTGGTGGGATGGGGATTCGAACTCGCGACCCACAGATTGCGAGTCGAGCGCCCTAACTATCTGGCCATGCCGGGCCCAGCAGTAATGGAGGCCAGAACTTTGCCATGCCGGGCCAATGAGGAACAATTTTGAAAGGAAGTAAAAGTGAAATATGAACAATTTTAATTCAAATAAAGAATAATAATGAAATACTTCGATGCTTCCAAAAGATTAAAACTATAAATTTAATAATACAAGCGTGTCATGTTTGTTTTTGGTTTTTTGATTCTCAATGCTTCTTTATTCGAAGTTTATTGTTGTTGTTGTGTCTAAATATAATTGAAACACTGTAGATGTCAGTGCTAGTTCGGAGCAGTTGTGGACTAGTGATTTGTGTGCCCGTATTGCGAATCTAGTGATTCACGGTTCGAAACCTGTTGCCGCTAAATATGTTCAGTATTTTGGGACCATGGATTTGATATAAGAGTGACGGTAATATCTCATCAGTTGGTTAGACAACGGTTGACGGTAGGTGCTGTTAACTAGGTGCGTTTTCTCTAGTCTGTCATTTCAAAATTAGGTGCAACAAAGCACCATTGTGTAGCTTTGCACAAGAGTTCTAAGCGTACAAACAAATGAATTATTGCTATAAAAAACATCAATTTTCAAGATTTCTCTTCATTTTTTTTGTTTATCATATTTTAAACGCAAATGGTTTACTTTAATATTTTGAAAACAACAACAACATTTCCAAGAAGTGACAACAACCAACGTGAAACATTACTGACTTGAAAAATAAAACAACAACAAATAAATTACAAGACACTAAAAATTCAACACACTTACTATAGCTAGGGTTATCAGATGTCCCGGTAAAACTGGGATCGTCGCAGTTTTTATCCCCCCCCCCCTTTTTTTGTTGCCCCGATCAGAAACAGTAAAAGTAATATGAATTTGATGACGACGAACCCACTTTTTAGAAAAAAAGGCTTGGAGACGGCTTGACTGAGGATGACATAATATTGTCGAAACGTCGTACATTTACAATAACTTTTTTGTCATTATTCAGTCTCCAAGCCGTCTCCAAACTTTTATTAGTAAAAGTAATAATTCGACCTAGTTTCTCTGTACCTCAATGTTTTCATAATCCAGTCTCCAAACCGTCTCCAAACTTTTATTAGTAAAAGTAATAATTCGACCTAGTTTCGACATAGTTTCTCTGTACCTCAATGTTTTCATTATCCAGTCTCCAAACTTCTATTAGTAAAAGTAATAATTCGACCTAGTTTCTCTGTACCTCAATGAGAGTTTGATATTTACAGTTTGTCAATTATACTCAGATCTTTTAACTTGTCGCAATCTTAGGGTCGTAGGTTCGAATCCTCGTCCCAACAAACATGCTAGCCCTTTTAGCTGTGGGAGCGTTATAATGTGACGGTCAGTCCCACTATTCGTTGGTAAAAGAGTAAGTAGCCCAAGAGTTGGCGGTGGGTGGTGATGACTAGCTGCCTTCCCTCAGTCCTTCACTGCTAAATTAGGGACGACTAGCGCAGATAGCCCTCGTGTAGCTTTGCGCGAAATTCAGAACCAAGCCTTTTAAATTGTAATTAGAAAATCACTTGACAAAGGCAAATCGCACAGTATACACCCCCACCCTACCCTTTCAGCTATATTTTCTTAACTTAACCTGCCATTGGGCAGCCGCAGGAATTGAAATGTCAAGACAAAGAACAAGGAGAAGCAACATTTTCTTTCAAGCAGAGTAAAAACAACTTGGCACCTTTGTTATATATTTTATTATTTTTCTAACTTTATAAGATTTCAACAAATTTAGTTTGTCCGTGCTGTTAAAACTGGTGTAATAAACACCGGATTATTTAGCAACGGTACAAAGTGTGTTTTGGTAGTTAAAACAGTTTTTAGAGATGTTACAGTGTCGCTCGGTGTGGAGAAAAATGTCCCATTTTTTTTACTCTGGAAATCTGGTAACCCTAACCATAGCTAGTATTTAATCGAGCATTATTCTAACGGCTGCAATGCATTTATTACATGGTATGCTGGAAATATGTAAAATTGATTGATCTGGACGATTTTGGTGATACGACAAATAAAACTGAACTTAATTTCGTTTGTTTATTGAATTTTGCACAAAATTAATCGAGGGTGACCTTCACTAGCCGTTCCTAATTTGAGTGATTGACTAGAGGGAAGTCAGCTAGTTAACATATCAACCGTCAACCCTTGGGCTACTCTTTACCAAGAATAATGGGATTGACCGTCACTTTATAACATTCCCACAGATGAAAAGGCGACTGTGTTCGGGGTTGAGATTTCACCCCTCGACTCACAGATTGCGATTCGAATGTCCGAACCATCAGGCCATTCCAAATGTCAACAGAGTTTGAAAATTTGAATAATACCTCATGTTCCCATGAACCAATCGGCTAGGTCAGATATCCTTAGGAGTCAAATATAGCTGACTTAATTTTAAACAAAAATATGTGACACTAAAAGGGCTCCATGAACCAAATATCGGGAATGACTGTCACTTTTATAACGCGCCACACCTGAAAGTGGAGAGCGTGTTCAGTGGCATTGCGTCGCGAGCTTTGGACTCTTGGGTACGTAGCCCGATGTACTAACCACTGATCACACCCGGCACTCGATGATACGAAAATGACTTAAAAGTGACCCGTTTTACAAATGCTTCTGAACACGTTTTAACTTACGAACTAAAAACCAAACCTGTTTGCAATCACTACTTGTTTTGTATTCAACTAATTTCTCAAATTCTACTTTCATTTCAGGTCACTTGGTATTTTATTTCTGCAACTTTTGTGTTCGGAGCGTGTCTAGAAACACGACACAAATGTTAATTCACGAGTTCACGATTTGTCATTTGCTCTTTTTAAATTAACCAATTTTTATGTTAGCACAAAGTTACTGGCATCAACACGAATAAAATATGAAAATACACAGATATGGTTGATGATACTTGACGGAAAAAGCAGTAGATACAGGGTCAACGTTTCAGTCATCTCATTGTTTTATACCAAAGGTCTTCTTATTAAGCCTGAAAGCAAACTTATTAGATGGTCAGTTACGTTAATCATCTAAGTGAACAACCAAGAATGACCACTCGCTTGTTTTAACGCAGTGGGGATCAAACAACAAAATTTAATGTTACAAACTATGAAACTTAGCGCTAAGAAAGTGTTTGTTTTGGTTATTGTTTTTTCTTAGCGCTAAGTTTCACAATAGATCTACTGCGCTGTGTCTGCCACGGGATCGAACCTCTGATTCTGAGGACAAGTAAAAAGTTAGGATAACTATATGTGTAACACATTACTAAATGTCATACGCCGTCAGAGAAGATGTTCACAAACAAGCAGTAGAAGTTATTCTGTAAAACTTGGGACAAAACAAACTATTCCCTTTGCCCTGCAGTTGCACAGTGGTAAGTCTGAAGGCTTATAACGCTAAAACCGGACTTCGATACCGTGGTGGGCACAACACAGATAACACATTGTACTCAACAAATAAACAAACAACTTTTCCTTTGAAATTTAAGGATATTTTTAGGATAACGTTTTTATCATAAACGAATGGCTTGAGCACAAAATTCCGAACCAGTTCTTAATCATCGTATTTAGCATGTAAACAAAATGGTTTGTTCTGTTGTATAGAAAAAAATAACAAAACACTACAGACAAATTTGGCTAGACGCGCGACATGTTTAATATTTACATCGTATTGCGATTATACAGCTATGGGCAAAAACTTTTATATTACTCTAATATTATATGTAGCTTCGTAAAGTAGATGAAACGTACTGAATAATTTAAAATGGTGCATCGAAGAACCTAATAGAATAATTCGACTCTTCAGCGTCCCCTTGAGTCTGTTTTTGAGAGGATAAAAGAAGAAAATAATAATAATAAATAAAAAAAAACATGGAATGCACCGCAAACACTAAGTAGTAGTGTTATGGCTTCCGGTAGACTTTACGATATAATTTGGTAGTTTTCTTTGATTAAGTGATATTAAATACCCCCTAGTCGCTCAGCGGCAAGTCTGAGGGCTCACACTTTAAAATCAGGTTTCGATACTCGTGGTGGGTATAACACAGATAGCCCATTGTGTAGTTTCGCTCTTAACATCAAACAAACGAAGTTAAATAAAAGATCTAAATTATGTTCATATAATTTGTTTTCTTTTTGTTATGTATCATTGCTAAAATTTTGGCCATAGCTGTAGATATATGTTAAATAAAATGTGGAATTTTTACGAACCATAGTTAGAGGAACCGCAGCGCCTTAATCGTCTTGGTCAGAGGGGGCCTGTGGTCAGTACTAACACAGGTATTCTTCTCGTTCAAATGACTGGAGATTAAAGAGTTTCTTGATTTTATATGCCTCCTTCCCGCATGACCTACATAGCCGACTATAAAGAAACCCAACTAGTTTTGTGTTGTAGTCGAGGTCGTAGTAACTAAGAGGGGAGAAAGGGAGTAGAGAGAACGAAGATGCACGTATCCTTTGTTCCCGGTGTCGTGAGCCACGTGCTACGTTTTAGAACCAGTTTTGTTCATAAATAAAAAGAAGGAATGGGGAAAGCGGGGATCTCGAAGGAAGATTAAGTGTTGAAAAATTCGGGTTTAACTTAAATAATTCTTTGATATATTTTAAATTTCTAAAATGCCACAAATATGATATCCACCCTTCGTCAAGGTAACTACCTTCCCTTAATAATGTGACGAGCTGATTTAGCCAATAATGCATAATTATGAGTAAACCGTGATTTTTTCCAATTTAACAAATCTAAAATACTTAATAAATACAAGCACTAACGTTTAATTTCATTATTCTCTTGTGTTAACAGTGAGGATTTTTAAGGTTTAAATCTTGACGCAATCAAAACTTTATTCAGCGCGCGTTGAATATAAATTAATCAACAATATATCACTAAGACTGGGTTAAATAGGGCCTTTATTAGGTCAAGGCGTTTTCCGGAAAACAAGGAAGAACTCTACCGATGTGAATATTTATAAACGACCCCCTGTGTACTCCATCCCTCAAAGCGTCCTCTTTTTAGTCTATGTGTGCACAAATCGTGAAACAACTTCAAAAATCGAGGCCTAACAGTTACTTTTCCCGGTGATATTTGTGCACGCTAGGCAGGAAAACCTAACTATTATCTGAATAAAAAAAAACACGTTGTTTTAAAGGCAAATTCTTTTTAACTTCTGTGATACAGTATTGATGTATTTCTAATCTTTACGAGTTCATTTCAAGTATGGTGTTATCAGTAGTTCCCGGATTATATCGTTAAATATATCTTAGAAAGACTTGCGAATGTAACATTGCAAGCGTCAATGGGCACCCGACCATTAGGCCCGTGAAGAGGATATATTTCGTAGTGTTCAGAATCTAACTTGCATTAACTACAATAAGTTGCATTGTAGTTTATTTGAGTAGTAGCTATTTTTAGGGCCTAAGCCCCGAATCTTTTTGTTAGATATAACGACGCCCCTGGGAGACAGTGTATTTGTTTGTTTGTCCAATTCCGTGCAAAGCTACACGGGGTTATCTGCGCTAGCCGTCCTTAATTTTGAAGTGATAGACTAGACGGAAGTCAGCTATACAACAACACCTACCGACAACTCCTGGGCTGCTATTGTTACACTGAATAACTCTTGTCACTCATAAAACGCACCCACGGCTCCAAAAAGCGGAGCGCGATTTTTTTAAATATATATTGTTGTTGTTGTTAACAGGACGCTAACTACAAAATCTCATAAAGCTGTGCTCGGCTCCCTGATCATAAAACCATAATTATTGAAAATGTATCCGAACTTACTCTAATATTTACGTCGTATGACTTCATTAGCTTTCAAATTATCGACATGCTTTTAATGCCATTTTTACCATAACATGTTATGAAGAAACCTGTAAAAACAGTCATGGTTTCCTGAAACATAAATAGGTAACAAAAAATGTGTTTAAAAGGTAATAAGGGGCTGACCCCCTCCCCCATGTGTAGGGTTACAAAAACTTACTCTCTTTTCATATAATTCTCGAATAAAATAAACGCTCTATTGTACCGAAGGTTTTATTAAAATTGTATAATATA